TGCCCTTGGCGGTGGCCCACGGTGGGGAGAGCAGACTTCAGTGTGGCTGGAGTCTGGGGCCAGTGCCTGGCCTACACCTGGGTGGACAGAGGAGTGCTCGGACATTTGCTCCTGGCCTGGCTGGAGGTCTTGCTACTGCCAGGGCAGGGGCTCCCCCTCCCCCACCCCAGATCCTGGCCGGTCAGGGTTTCTCAGGGAGCAGTGTCCCTGCCTGCCTCCCAGCTGGCGGTCACTGTGGACCCACACTGCCCCAGAGTCTCGATCCTCCACGGAACCCTCGGAGGCTGTCTGGGGACCTCTGAAGACGGGTCTGGGGAGAAATGCCTTCCAAGCAGAGGGGCCCACATGTTCAGTGGCCCGGAGCCGGTGGGCACTGGCAGGATGGCAGAGAGGTGAGGCTGGAGCCTGCGAGGGGCACCAGATCCAGAGGGTGCCAGCTCAGCCCACCACTGCTGCCCCACTCCAGGCCTGCGCCCCAAGTGGCCCCAACACGTGTGTGTGGACACGCCACCCACGCAGGCTGACTACGTGCAGCCCCAGCAAAGGGGCCAGCATTGGCTCCTTCCTGGGCCCGAGGGGCCTGTCAGGGAGGAGGCAAGGGGGCAAGGCTCCCTGGGGTCTTGGGTGCTGGGAAGATAGTCTGGGGAGAGGAGGGGGGTGGTGGGGCCGCCCAGAGTCGCACCCTTGGCAGCAGGGCTGGATCCAAGGGAGCAACTGGAGGGTGGGTGTGGGGTGGGGGCTCAGTGGAGTCTCCTGAACTGGGATCCCAGTCCAGAGGCACCAACCCTCGAGTTCCTGCCTCTCCCACCAGGGGGGTGGCTACCCAGAGGGGTGGGGCACCTCGGCCTCCCTCTGCGGATCCGGGATGACCACTCTCCCGGGCAGGGCCTCTCTCTGGCCCCAGCCCTGACCTCTCCCCAGCTGCACTTTGGGGAAACTGAGACCGGCTGCTGGAGTAGACAGGTGTCTGATTTGAGCTGGACCCTGGGGCCTTCCCTGGGAGTTGAGCAGAGCCAGGCTGACTTGTCTCATGGGGGCTGTGCCCCACGGGGGCCTCCAGTGCCAGGTTGTCCTGTGTCCTCAGGGCAGGAGGAGAGGCATCCCTGGCCATCCCTCTGTGGCCAGCTCCCCATGGGGACTCCACGGGGTCCAGGATCCACACTGTCTACCTCTTGCCAAAGTCAGCAAGGCCTCCCTCTGTGACTTCAAGTGTTTGGGTCTTCCAGGGCGGGGCTGCCGGCCAGGGTGCCAGTGTGGAGGGCCGAGCTAGGGAGCGGGCCTGGGAGCCCAGAACTTTCTGGTTTGACCAGGTCCTGCCCAGAGGGAGGGCTCCCGGGAGGTGTGAGGGACCTGGGGACCCGGGGCCCTGCCTGGCCTGGCCGGCTGCCCGTCTGTACTGCACTGAGGGTCCTGGCCCGCTGGGGGGTGCTTGGCCGGATTCCTCTGTCCACCCCTCCATGGAGAATGTCCGGAATGCTCGTGGCCACAGTGGGTGAGCAGAGTGTTTGCTTAATGGGATTCCTGGCGGGCCTGACCGGGGCTCCTGGCTCGTGTGTCCAGGCGCACTCCAGGCCAAACACAGACCCAGGCCTGCAGCACCCACACCCTACACAGGCTGCGACACGCAGCCTGCCATGGGGAAGGCCCAGCTGGGAAGATTTGGAGGCTTTTGGCTACCTTGGGGGAGGGGTGGAGGACCTCAGGCACAGGCGGTGGCCAGGGTGGGGCCAGGTGCATCTGGGGAAGGGGCCACCTCCAGGCCTGAGGGAGGCCCGGGCCCCCTGGGGAGGCATCTTGGGGCCTGGGGTAGGGGAAGCCATGTAACCCCATGAGGGTGGGGACAGGCAGCCTGACTCTGGCCCTCCCCTGGGGCCCCTAGGGCCCAGCCTGCACTTTGGTTTTACTGCGGCCATTTTCCGGGTGAGAAGGGGGGCCGAGCCTGGTGCCCGGCCAGTCAGGCAGTGGAAGGGGAGGAGGCCCCAGCAGGGCAGGGAGGGCGAAGGGACTGGCTCCAAGTTCAAGTTCAAATTCCAGCTCCACATACTGACTGACCTTGGAGAGGGGCCGGCTTAGTCACGGGGGCTCCTGGAGCCCTCCTGGGAGCCAGGTGGGGCCCCTGGGATGGAGGACCCCTCAGGTCCTGGCCGTGACCTGGCTTGGGAGCGACAGTTTAAGGGTGAGCCTCATCTGGGTGGGAGGAGGTGTAAACCTGGGAAGCTGTGGGTGGGGAGGGGGCGGGTGCCCTGGGGAGGACCAGGGCAGGCAGAGAGGCCAAGCAGACAGGGCTGGGTGGGCCAGCATGGCCAGGGCACCAGGCAGGGCCCAGGAGAGGCCTGGGCTTGGGCGCCCCAGAGGAGGGGCCCAGGAGGGACCCTGCCTCCCAGCCCAGCAGACCTGAGGCCTGCACAGGGGCTGGGGCGGAGGTCAGAAGCCAGACGGGCCCTGCCGCCCTCTCCTCTGTCACCAGGGACACCCCCATGCCATGCTGGCCGAGGACCAGAAGCTTGCCGTGGCCACAGGCCGGACACCCACAGGCCCCTACCTGCCCCCTTCCCGCGGGGAGCCCCCGCCCCCAGGCTCCCCCTCCCCGAAACTCCCACACCCCAACCCTGACCTGGAGACTGACCCCAGCCTGATGCGTCCCTGGGTGAGTTTCCTCTTGCGCTCAGACACCCAGGAAGTGCGTCCTGACGTCTGACCTGAGAGCTGGCGGCACGGGTCTCCAGAGTCAGGTCCCCGAGCAGGGTCCAGCCCGCCCCAGCAGGGGACAGAAGCTCCCTGAACCCCCTTCCAGTCTCTGGAATCGGTTGGAGGCAGGGGTTCCCCCGCCGGGGCCCGGGCCGGGAGAGGGCGAGCCGGGCGGTGAGCCTCGCACCGCCGGC